CTCCAATACAGTACTCACTATTCGACAACTCCCGTCTCCAACTCAACAGCATCCCGTTGCAAAAGAGATTCCAATGGAGTCCTGTTCAAATTCCGATCCGCCCGCCGCCCGCCCGCCCGCCGCCCGCCCGCCCCCCCGCCGCCAGTTCGTCGTGCTTCTGCGTTCAACAAAACCCCCAGTGTTCAACAACGTCCGTCTCCAACAGAGCACCCAGTACTCAGCAGCCTCCGTCTCCAACGCAACACCCAGTACTCAACATGATGCCGCTGCAATAGAGAATCCTGCGGAGTTCTGTTCAAATCCCGATGCGCCCGCCGCCCGACCGCCCGCCGCCCGCTCCCCGCCGCCCGCCCGCCGCGCTTCCGCGTTCAACACAGCTCAACAACGTCCGTCTCCCGTAACATCCCACTGCAAGAGAGAAGGTTCAGGAGTTGTCTTGAAATCCCGAGCCGCCCGCCCGCCGCCCGCCCGCCCCCCGCCGCCCGCACGCCGTGCCTCCGTGTTCAACACAGCACCCGTGCTCAACACAGCTTCCGTGCTTCCGTGTTCAACGCAGCTCCCGTCTCCAACACAATACCCAGTACTCAACAGCATCCCGCTGCACAATTTTCGAAATCCCGATCCGCTAAAAATTCTGCAAAATCTGCCAAATCCGCAAAATCTGCTAAATCTGCAAAGATCCCTCAGGAGTTCTGCCAAATCCCGATCCGCCGGCCCGCAGCTCGCCCGCCCGCCGCCCGTCCGCTGTCCGCCCCCCGCCGCCCGCCCGCCGTGCTTCCGTGTTCGACACAACACTGATTATTCAGCAGCCCCCGTCTCCAACACAACACCCAGTATTCAGCAGCATCCCGCCGCCCGTTCGCCGTGCTTCCGCGTTCGACACAACACCCAGTACTCAAGAGCGTCCGTCTTCAACACAGCTGTCAGCACTCAACAGCCCCCGTCTCCAACGCAACATCCAGTATTCAGCAGCATCCCGCTGCAAGAGGTAGTCCTCAGGCGTTTGGTTCAAATCCCGATCCTCCCGCTCGCTCCCCGCCCCCCGCCCGCCGTGCTTTCGCTTTCAACACAGCACCCAGTATTCAACAGCGTCCGTCTCCAACACCACACCGGGTATTCAACAGCTTCCGTCTCAAATACAGCACCCAAGATTCAACAGCATCCCGCAGCAAGAGAGAATCCTCAGGAGTTGCATTAAAATCCCGATCAGCCTGCCCGCCGCCCGCCCGCCGCCAGCCCCCCGCCGCCCGCCCGCCGTGCTTCCGCGTTCAACACAGCATCCAGTACTCAACAACGTCCGTCTCCAACACAACACCATGTTTTCAGCAGCCCCCGTCTCCAACACAGCACCCAGTACTAAACAGCATCCCTCTGCAAGAGAGACTCCTTAGGAGTTCTGTTCAAATCCCGATCCGCCCGCCCGCCGCCCGTCCGACCGCCGCCCGTCCGCCGCCCGCCCCCAGCCGCCCGCCCGCCGTGCTTCCGCATTCAACACAGCACCCAGTACTCAACAGCGTCCGTCTCCACCACAACACCCAGTACTCAACAGCATCCCGCTGCAATAGAGACTCCTTAGGAGTTCTGTTCAAATACCGATCCGCCCGCCGCCCGCACGCCTGCACGGCCGCCGCCCGCCCCGCGGTGCCCGTTCGCCGTGCTCCCGCGTTCAACACAACACTCAGTACTCAACAGCATCTCGGTGAAATTTGAGAATCCTTAGGAGCTCTACCACAGTCCCGATTCGCCCGCCCGCCCGCCCGACCGCCTCCCGACCGCCGCCCGTCCACCGCCCGCCCGCCGCGCTTCCGCGTTCAACACAACACCTGGTACTCAACAGCGTCCGTCTTCAATACAACACCCAGTGTTCGACAGATCCCGTCTCCAACGTAACACCCAGTATTCAACAGCATCCCGCTGCAAGAGAGAATATTCAGGAGTTGCATTACATTTCTTATCCGCCCGCCGCCCGCCCGCCCGCCGCCCGCCAGCCCCCCGCCGCCTGTTCGCCGTGCTTCCGCGTTCGACACAACACCCAGTACTCAGCAGCGTCCGTCTCCAACACAGCAGTCAGCACTCAACAGCCCCCGTCTCCAACGCAGCATCCAGTACTCAACAGCATCCCGCTGCAAGAGACAATCTTTAGGATTTTTGTTCAAATCCCGATCCGCCCGCCGCTTTCCCGCCCGCCGCCCGCCCGCCCCCGTCTGTCCGTTCGCCGTGTTTCCGTTGTCAACACAACACCCACTATTCACCAGCGTCCGTATCCAACACAACACCCAGTATTCAACAGCGTCCGTCTCCAACGCAACACCCAGTACTCAACAGCATCCCGCTGCAAGAGAGACTCCTGTGGAGTTTTGTTCAAATTTCGATCCGCCCGTCGCCCGTTCGCCGTGCTTCCGCGTTCAACACTACACCCAGTATTCAAAAGCGTCCGTCCCCAACACAACACCGGGTACTGAACAACAGCTTACGTTTTCAACACAACACCCAGTATTCAACAGCATCCCGCGGCGAGAGAGAACCCTCAGGTGTTTGATTCAAATACCGATCCGCCCGCCTGCCGCCCGCCCCCCGCCGCCCGCCCGCCGTGCTTCCGTGTTCAACACAGCATCCAGTTTTCAACAACGTCCGTCTCCAACACATAACCCAGTACTCAACAGCTCCCGTCTCCAACACAACTCCAAGTACTCAACAGCATCCCGCTGCAAGAGAGACATAATCCCTAGGAGTTCTGTTCGAATCCCGGTCCGCCCACCCGCCGCCCGCCCAACCGCCGCCTTTCCGCTGCCCGCCCCCCGCCGCCCGCCCGCCGCGCTTCCGCGTTCAACACAACACCCAGTACTCAAAAGCGTCCGTCCCCAACACAACACTGGGTACTGAACAACAGCTTACGTTTTCAACACAACACCCAGTATTCAACAGCATCCCGCGGCGAGAGAGAACCCTCAGGAGTGTGATTCAAATACCGATCCGCCCGCCCGCCGCCCGCCCCCCGCCGCCCGCCCGCCGTGCTTCCGTGTCCAACACAGCATCCAGTACTCAACAACGTCCGTCTCCAACACAGAACCCAGTACTCATCAGCTCCCGTCTCCAACACAACTCCAAGTACTCAACAGCATCCCGCTGCAAGAGAGACATAATCCCTAGGAGTTCTGTTCGAATCCCGGTCCGCCCACCCGCCGCCCGCCCGACCGCCGCTTTTCCGCTGCCCGCCCCCCGCCGCCCGCCCGCCGCGCTTCCGCGTTCAACACAACACCCAGTACTCAACAGCTTGCGTTTTCAACACAACACCCAGTTTTTCAACACAACACCGGGTACTCAACAGTTTGCGTCTTCAACACAACACCCAGTTTTTCAACACAACATTGGGTATTCAACAGCTTGCGCGTTCAACACAACACCCAGTACTCAACCGCATCCCGCTGCAAGAGGGACTCCTGTGGTGTGGTGTTCAAATCCCGATCCGCCCGCTGCCCGCCCGCTCCCCGCCCGCTCCCCGCCGCCCGCCCGCCGTGCTTCCGCGTTCAACACCACACCCGGTACTCGAAAACGTCCGTCCCCAACACACTTCAACAGCTTACGTTCTCAACACAACCCCCAGTGCTCAACAGCATCCCGCGGCAAGAGAGAACCCTCAGGAGTTTGATTAAAATCCTGATCCGCCCGCTCGCCCGCCCGCCCCTCACCGCCCACCCGCCGTGCTTCCGCGTTCAACACACCACCCAGTATTCAACAGCTCCCGTCTCCAACACAACACCCAGTTTTTCAACAGCATCCCGCTGCAGGAGAGACTCCTTCGGAGTTTTGTTCAAATTCCGATCCGCCCGCCACCCGCCCGCCCGCCGCCCGACCGCCGCCCGTCCGCCGCCCGCTTCCCGCCGCCCGCCCCTCGCGTTTCCTTGCTCAACACAGCACCCAGTATTCAACAGCGTCCGTCTCTAACACAACACCCAGTACTCAACAGCATCCTGCTGCAAGAGAGAATCTTTAGGAGTTCGTTCCCATATTAGAGGCTCCCAAATGTCGAACGACGCGACACGTCAGACACCAAAAAGCATATGTGTGATTGTTTGCAATCTACGCGCGCGACTGCCTTGAAAACGTCTTGGCCTGCTGTGTCCCAAATGTGGACTTTGAGTCGCCTGTCGTTCCAGTTCAGAAATCAGCACAACAACTCGACGCCGATGGTGGCACGGTGCCCATCGCGAACATTTTCGAGCGCCAATCTCAGAGCAGGACATGACTTCCCGCACGCCGAATCTCCAATTACGACGGCTTTTATGAGAATATTGGCATCGACGAGTGGTTGCGTTCGCATTGCGGCAAGCCTCTCGCACGCCTCGCGGCCTCGTAGGGAACTCCACCGACGGCCCTGTGTTTGCGGTCGCATGCGCCCGCTGCGTCCATATCGGCACACCCCTCACACGTTCCGTGGCCCCACAGGGAGCTCCACCGAAGGCCCCAGTAGCAGTGTTCGCATGCGCCCACCGCACCCATGCCGGCACACCCCTGACACTTTTCGTGGTCCCATAGAGAGTTCCCATTCATTCGTCCAACCTGCTTTGCAGCACTCGCAACTGCTTATGATTGGATCCTTCGCCAGGACAGGCTTGCGTTGCAAATCTTCATCTTTCAGCTTAAGATGGCTCCCAAAGGAGGGGCCCTAGATCTAGAGTCTTCAGCGCGGGCCCAAAGTTGCCCATCAGAGCCCCGGAAAGAGCCCCAGACGCTCCCATCACGGTCCAAGATTGCCTCCAAGATTGCTCCAAGACGGCCCAAGACAGCACCAAGATGGCCCCTAGGTCCCCCAGACGCCTTCCAGACCCATTCAAAAAGAAGGCTCCGTCATGCCCCAAGGTTCCCCAATACGACCCCAAGAGGCCCCAAGAAAGAACCAGAAAGCGCCCCCAGAAGAGCCGTGGCCAGGTTGGCTCAAGTTTTCATTCGAGATCTCCTTCAAGAGCGCAGACGTTTGCTCACATCAACGGGGTGGTCATATGGCTGAACCAGTATGGGGCGACAGCTACGCGGTGCCATTTCTCCGCATGGAGACGCGAGACCCAGTTTGGCGCGGCGCTGGATTTGCTTGCCGAGCAATTCGTCGCTGGTGGCGGCTGACAACGGACAGTCATTATCTCGCGTCGTCAGCAAGCCGGAGAACTTTTTGGAAGTATTATTGGGTTACGATTGTTTTTTGGCTTGCTCTTTGGTTGTGCTTGTTATGTGTGGGAACGGTTCAATTTGTTGGTTTGGGTGCTGCCTTAATCCAGGCGTTGATGTTGTGCTTGCTGTTGTCCCCGGCAATGGCGGCATTGCCAACGACATCCCTGTGGTCGGATTTCTTCATATCCACCATGTTATGTGGAATAATTTGGTTCGTTTTCTTACAAGCTCCCATGAATGCTATTACCATGCAGCTCCCGTTGTTCATTCTTTTGTGCTGGGCCTATGGGTTGCACAGTTGCTTTGTCTTGCAGTTCAGCATTTCTGGAATCATCTGCTGTTGCGTTTGCGCTCCAAGCTTGGATTTGCTCATACACGTCGAAGCCGTTGCGGTTATGGTCCCAGTTTTCCTCCTTGAATGGCAGTCTGTGTCCCATTTCAACAAAATGCAACAGGTCTTGAACGTTTTGACGGACGAGCAGTTGATCGTAAACAGGAGCAGTGGCATCGTTGTCAGCGTGAGCACAGGGGCGTCGGACTTAATAGGCGAAGGCGCTGTTGGAACACAAGTATCCCAATTCGCACACATCAGTGATCGTGCCAAAATGGAGCATCAGTTCAGAACGAGCAGGGGGCAACCCTCGGATAGCTTCCTAGCCACGCTTCACTGCATGGATTCAAACGGTATACCCACGCACGAGTTCGAGGTTCGCATCATAACCTACGAGATCACCGGGCATCTTCTGCACATCGCCCTTCAGCTCGTGGGCGAGGTGAGGCTGTGCCACCTTGACAATCGCAGCGCCGAGCAGCCACCGATGAGCAATTCGAGCGCCGCTTTGGCCCTGACCGAGGGCCCCTCACTGCAGGGAGGTCGCGCGGCACCAGCTGCGCACCAAGGGCACTGGGGAGATGGCCAGCAGTTGACAGTCCACGGAGAGGAAGAAGCAGCGGCCGCCGACCACCAGAGCCTCGGCCTGCTGCTCGGACAGGCGAGCAGCGAGCCGTCGGCCGTACACCGAGGGCGCCAGGGCGACGGCGAGACGTCGGGACACTGCGGGGGCAGCGAGGCGTCGACCTGCGCGGAGGCCCGCTGGAACGCTGGGAAGGCGGTGGGGATGACGAGGTCCCGGTCGTCGTCACCGCCGCCGCCGCCGCCGTCGTCGCCGTCGCCATCGCCGCCGTCGTCGTCGCCGCCGTCGTCGCCGCCGCCGCCGCCATCGCCGTCGCCGTCGCTGCCGCCGTTGTCGCCGTCGCCGCCGCCGTCCCCGAGGTCCCAGCACCCGCGCGCCAAGTGGGCGGGGACGGCGGAGCGCAAGCCGCCCGCCAAGGGCGCGGCGTTGAGGCGCAGGCTTGCGGGAGGCGGCGGGGAGCCGCAGGCGGGCCCGCCGCCGAAGGCCGCAGCGCCGCCGCCCGCCGGCGGGTCGCTCGCGAGGCAGTTCGGCCGCAACTGTGGGGAGGGCTGTGGCCCTTGCGTGCCCCCCCCCTGCTGGGGGGCCTTTAGGCATTCGGCAGTCCCCTCCCCATCGACCCCCTCGACAGGTCTGGCGTCGGCACGACGGGCCCCCCCCAGGGGGAGGAGGAGGAGGAGGAGGAGGAGGAGGAGGAGGAGGAGGAGGAGGAGGAGGAAGGATGAGGAGGAGGAGGAGGGCAGGGAAGGTGGGAAGGAGGGCGGAGGGGAGGGGGGGGGA